AGTTAGTGGTGGATCTCAGGATGCTGTCTAGATAAATCTCCTATCTCACAGCCATTTCCAAGAAGTACTTGGGCACGAAGCTGCAGGCAATTAGAAGGCACACTAAATGTGCAAAGTCTGAAGCTGTTGCTGGGATTGTTCACTCCCCACCTGGGGTGGGATAGTAGGAGCTCCAGGGCAAATCTGCCTCCATTCTCCATTGCATATAGGCCCTGGGCATCCATCAAGCTGCCCTGCCCACCTGGCCACTTGCCATATCCCCACCCTGCAGGGATTTAGACACCTGCTCCTGGCATCTCAAAACATCCTCTCTCTCCAGACTGCCAGGCTGCTGGGAATTGGATTTGCCTGTCTGGGGGAACAGCCGTCTCCCTCTACATATGCATAGGAACTTCTCCCAGAAGTCCTAAAGCCCATTAGGGCCTTCCATGAATACTGGAGACACCACTGGCAGGATAGTGGGTCCTGTAAGCCCTGTTCTCACAGTCCCTATTCTAAAAGCATGGGAATCTGGGAACCTGTGTTTGAATACAGTCCCTTGGTGAAAGTTTGAAAGTCACTCTCACTGTGTCCCCAGACTGCCAGTACTCATTTCTGCTGTCAATCTGACAGCTGTTACAGCTGTGTGTGTGGACACGGTTAATCTGATTTCCTGTCTGGCAGCTGTACAGTGGGAAAGGGACAGCTGAGGGTCTCAAAAACAATAGGGGATGAGGTAGGAGGGGGCTGGGCAGCAGAAACTGTCTGTATGGGAAGTGTGCCTTTTAATTACCTCCAGCTTTGTGCCCAAATGGTCTAGTCCCCTTCTTACTTTGAGCCAAAATGCAATCAGGAAAAGAGAGAACCTACCAAGTATTCTCAAGTATTTATATAAAACAAAGACTCAGAAACTTGGGAGCTCCCAGAGGCCACAATGGTCTCTATTCTCTAGAAGCACAAAATTCAGAGGCACATCAAGACTCACCACATAAGGTTATACAGGCTGGATACTGTCTGTGGGCACCCAATTGAAGGGACAGTTGAGGCTGAAATCTAGCTCATGTTCCATTTTACTAAGCCATACACATTGGCATGAAGAAGTATTCAACACAGAAGAACTCTTCTTTCTTTCTTTCTTTCTTTCTTTCTTTTGGTCAGTCATGGGGCTGGGAGCTCTTGCTGAGATTTTCTTTTTTTTTTTTTTTTTTGCTCAAAGCTACCACTTTGTGCCATAGCTCCCCTTTTGGCTTTTTTGATAGTTTAGTGGAGATATGAGTCTCATGGATTTTCCTGCCCAGCCTGGCTTTGAACAGCGATCCTCAGCTCTCAGCCTCCTGAATAGGTAGGATTACAGAAGTGAGTCACCAGCACCCAGCCCAAGAACTGCCTTTTTTTTTTTTTTTTTTTGGTCAGTCATGGGGCTTGAATTCTGGGCCTGAGTGCTGTCCCTCAGCTCTTCAGCTCAAGGCTAGCTCTCTACCACTTGACCCACAGAGCCACTTCTGGTTTTCTGGTGGTTTACTGCCTTTTAAAAACGACAATAGCCGGGCGCTGGTGGCTCACGCCTGTAATCCTAGCTACTCAGGAGGCTGAGATCTGAGGATTGCGGTTCAAAGCCAGCCCGGGCAGGAGAGACCATGAGACTCCTATCTCCAATAAACCACCAGAAAACCGGAAGTGGCGCTGTCGCTCAAGTGGTAGAGCACTTGCCTTGAGCTGAAGAGCTGAGGGACAGCGCCCAGGCCCAGAGTTCAAGCCCCACGACCGACAAAAAAAAAAACAATAGAAGAAATTTTTGTGCCGATTAACAACTCCCTATTCCCAGACTTGAGTTCAAGTTGCAGCTCTTATTCTGTGACCTTGAGTGAGTTTCTTAACCAATCTGTTCTCTCTCAATTGTCAAATATTTTATTAATAACCTTCCTTAAAGAGATAAGGTAAGGAAAGTCCCGGCTGCCCCTGTTACCTAGTATATTATTAGCTCTCTTCCTACTCTAGTCTTGCCTTCCTACCTTCCCGGCATCCCTCCACCTACACATCCCCAGAGTCATGCTCGGAATGGTCTGAAGAGCATGAATAAGAGGATCCACGGAAAGTCCCAGTGCCAAACCTGATCCCTTTGAGACTTCCCAACATCCAGAATATCCTTTCCTGGCACAAGGATTCATACCCTTCTTGGGAGGGTAGTGAGACCCCTCCTAGGCCTTCTCCTGCTGTCCTGTACACTGTCCAGTGACAGCTCTACCCAATCCTGGATAGAGGGGAATCCAGGGCTTTCAGAAGGGAATCAGGAAATTCCCCAGTTCTGCCTTCTGCAATTCCACAGTGGCGTTCAAACTCCCAGACTTCCCATGCAAAGACCAGGACTGGATGATGGTGGTTCCCTCTGTGTGCAGGGCCGTGGCATAGTAGCCAGGCAGAAACCCTAGCCAGCTGAAGATTGTACCATCTGTTGTTGTTGTTGTTTTTTTTTTTTGGGGGGGGTTGCTAGTCCTGGGGCTTGAACTCAGGGAGGGCCTAGCACTGTCCCTGAGCTTCTTTTGCTCAAGGCTAGCACTATACCACTTGAGCCACAGCGATACTTCCAGCTTTTTCTGTTTATGTGGTATTGAGGAATAAAACCCAGGGCTTCATGCATGCTAGGCAAACACTCTATCACTAAGCCACATTCCCAGCCGAGATTGTCCCATGCTCTCCTCTAGTGGGAATAGCAAAAAGTACCCTTATCTCTACCCCTTATGAGCTGAGGCTCTGGCTCACCCATGGAGGTGCCCAGCTGCAACTGTCGCTATTCACCCAGAGGGCCAAACCTCAGAATAGTGCCCAGGAATCCTGCCAAGCAGTTTTGGACTCTGCCCTCTCATGAAACATTCATTCATCCAAGTGCCAGACACTGTGCTAGGGGCTGATCAACGGCAGCCAACAAGACAGCCGAGAGAGCAAAGGCTGCCCCCAAACTGATTCCCAAGACTTGTTCCTGGAGGAAGGAGGCAAGGTACCACCCTGGAAAGCCCCTTTTTCCAACCCTTTGGGCCAGGGAGGCCAGAGCAATACACAGCACCCAACAAAGTGTCCCTGGATACCTGCTTTCTCAGTCATAGGCTTTTCTATCCTTCTGGAGACTGGTCAATAAATGGTGGTGGGAGGTGGGAAGGTGAGAGGAGAGGAACAGGAGAAGGAGGGAAACACCAGGCTGCCTGGGACCTCATAGCCATGTTTATCTGAGGTGGATTTTTTTTTAACCTAAAGGTTAAAGTGTTTCTATTTGAAACATCTATTTACATTCCAGAGTCCAAAAAAAAAAAAAAGGCAGCCAAGCTCCAGGCCTATATCTGTCCCCAGCCGCGTCACAGACACAGCATCAGAGCTGCTCAGGGGGAACATTCTTAGCCCTCTCCTCGAGCCGTGGGGGTGACTCATGCCTCTCTCCTGCCAGCAAGGACTGAGCCATGGCTCAGAAGGCCAGGCAGTGTTTGGGAGGTTGGGGAAGGGGGGGGGGGTAGAGACAGGGGCTGGTTGGGGTCCTAGCTTGCAAAGTTTTTAGGATCTAACTTGAAAGGAGTAAATAAACAAAGCAGAGGAGAAAACTTGGGGCCGACTACTGTTTGCTGCTCGTAGGCAAGGGCCTGTGGGGCCAGGGCAGCAAACACCTCCAGCAGATGTTCTGCATAGCCACAATTACTTTTCAGGAGCGCACCTTGAGACCCAGAGGCTGGGGCTGGGGGCAGAGGACAGGGCCTTTGGCTTTAGTGAGGTTCAATTAGCCTAGAGCTATTAGAGGGCAAGAACCAACTAATCCATGTTTCTACCCCATCCCAAGGGCCTGGTGGGCACCTTTCGGGGCTACACTCCAGGGCTATGCCTGTATACTAGTACATCCCTGTTCAGGAAAATGGCAAACAATGTTCAAAACAGTGTCCAAATCTTCCCAAAACATTCTTCTGACACATGCCAGTCCTACTGAAACTTTATCCCTGGACAGCTCAGACCACACCACAGGTACCCACCTTCTAATTCAAACGCTGGGATCCACACCCACATAATCCAGAGTCAAGGAATCCCAAAGACATACACACACCCCACCACTACCACCACCACCCTTATAAGCACCAAGCTACTGCCAGGAGGGGCCAAGTGGGCATGGCTCCAGCAGGCCCCTCCCTAGAGGAAGCATCTTGTGGTGCCTGCCTGGTGGGGAAGCTGTGCCAGAAGGGCCTGGTGCTGCCAACAGGTTCCTGGGAGTGAGGGAAGGAGTGGCCCATCTGGCGGGGGGAGGGGAGCACCCCACTCCTGGTGAAGGCCAAAGAAGTTCCTGCCAAGATGGTAGCAGGTTTAGGGTCCTCATGCCCATCTGAGCATCTCTCTATCCTTGGGAGGTAGGAATACGCTATACCTAGGGGGAGGAGAGTTATAGAGGTGCTAGGAGCTAAGGCAGCTAAAACCACTCAACATCCTAGCTGCCAGTCTCTGCCTAACACTACCATGACTACCTCCCCAGAAGGGTCTATTCTCAGGGGACTCCTGGTCAGGGACCTACCAATTTACTGTACCTGATGTTCTAGTACCAAACCAAGCCAGAGAAGCTGGGGTAGGTAACTTTTATTCTTGTGGACATCCTAGCTAAATCGTCTTCTTCCACTACACAAACCCGGGGAGCAGGCAGAGTGGACACAGGTCACTGACCCACTTCCTCCCCTCTGACCACAGTGCCAACTAGGCCAGGATCCTCTAGTAAGCCCCAGCCCCCAGCAGCTGAGGCCAATCCTACCTGAGGCCAAAGGAACTGGAAGGATGCAGCAGGGAAATCATGGCAGGAAAGCACAGTGGGAGGGCAACACTGGGCAAGGAGGGCAGGGTCAAGGGTAGAGAGGCCCACCCTGGGAGCACAGCTTCCCAGTCCCATTGATGCCCAAGAAAGCCTTCAAGAAAGGTCAAAGCAGGACTCCGTCTGGGCAAGATGCTCAGCTCAGGTACAAGGATGCCCGAGAACAGAGGGCAGGTGAGGGCACAGAGACACTTACCTGCCACAGGGATGCTGTGCAGAGGAGTCCGCGGCAGGATTTCCAAGGGTGGTTCCCGGCCTAACATGCCATCTGCTGAGAAACAGGACTCGGTCTCGTAGATGGTCTGCAGCATCTCCACGAGCCCCTGCGCCTTGGGCACCAGCAGCATGCCCAGGATGGGCCGCCAGAGGCGGGAGCCAGCCAGAGGAAGGTGGTCCGGCAGGCCAGCTGCTCTGGGACTCCCTCAGGCCACTGCTGCTGGAACCCACAAGGTAAGGAGGTGCCTCATCCAGCCTGGGCACTCCTTGGAGGCCTGGGAAGCCCTGAGGCTACAGGCCTGCCCTCATCTACAGGAGCATCCACCTCAGCCTGTCCTCAGATTCCAGGAGCTGGGGTATGTGGCTGAGCGCTCCGGGGACAGGAAGGGGATCTCAGCAGGCAGGCGGGCTCTCTGTGTTCCCTCCCAGCACCACCGGGTGACAGCTCTGGGCCTGGCTCCCTGCTCCTCCTTCCCGAATGAGCCGCCGGCAGCTGGCAGGAGACTGAAATAGCAGTTGGGGGAGGGCCCTGTCTATAAATAGGTGGAGCATGCTCAGGGAGCCGCCGGCTGGCTGCCAGGAGCCCAGGCCTGGCGGAGGCCCCATGGGGGGAGGCGGCGTTCCACCCCAGGAGGAAGCGCCAGGCTGGGAGGGGGGTGGGGGAGGGCCTGCACTCAGGGCCAAGGCCACAGAGCTGGGTGGCCAAAGGCTGCACGGGTAAGGAGGCAAGCAGGGGTACCCGAGTGTCTAGGAGCCACTCTGGCTACTGTTGTTGGCAGGCAATGGACCAGAAACCAAGAAGCCAGGCAACATCTTCTTTTTTATCCTTGCTCTAGCTATGTACAATAGATAAAGGAAGCAGAAAGATTGGGGAGAGGTGACAGACACAGCCACTTGTATCTTCCCTGGAGTCCTGACAGCCCTGTAGGGGTTAACTTCTGCCTTCCTCCAGAGCTGGGAGATACCTTCCCTCCCCCCTTTACTAGCAGGGAGACCCTAAACAGCAGTTAAGTGGCAGCTCCCTCTCTCTCATTCTGGAGTTGGCAGCCAGAGACAGCTCAGCTTTTTTCCAGGGGGCAGGGAGACTTCCTGGGCAGATCTCACGCAACCCAGGCAAGGGACTGGGTGGAACCTGCTCATTCTCAGCACAGCAGTTCATCCTTGGCAGTGTGCCAGGTGTGGTACTAAGAGCATTATAGTACCATATTCATTCATTCTGCATGATGACCTTAGGAGAAAGGGTATAGCTGCACAAACTGAGGCACGGAGACCTTAGCGTTACTTGCCCTAGGTCATACAGCTGCTCACATGATAGGGCTGAGAGGTCTAAGGCTCAAGTCCCAGCTCTTACCATGGTACCTCACTACCTCACATACAAGACTGCTGCAGGGTTTCCCTTAACAGGTACAAGGACCTCACTGCCCAAGTAGGAACAGACTGAAGGTTGGAACCTCTCCAGGAAGTCATGAGGCTGTCAGCATCCAGGCCTGATGGAGCAGCCCCAGCTCCTGAGTTCCTGCTGGGACCTGAAGCCAGTGTACCACTGCTAGCCTGTCCCTCTGCCTCAGGTTATGCCTCCCACTGGTACAGAGATCCCACTTGGCCCCCTGACCTCACTGGGACCTTTTAATAGCCCTGTTATTCCTGTGTCTGTATCCCCCTCCCCCTTCCTGATGTCACAGTTGCTATTTTGGAGCCCCTCTTGCCCCCCACTCCAGGAAGAGAGCCAGGGACACCTGTCCTCTCTCTGGACTGGATGACCTCACCCTCCTGTCAAAAGCCTGGGAGAAGCTGGCCAACCAAGGACACAGTGGCTGTGGCTCCTGGAGCCCATCTTCCCAGCTAGCTTTTGCCATCTAAGGATGGCCAGGGCCTCCTTCTCAGGGAAGACGGCAGAAGCAGTTTTTCCAAAGCCCTAGCCTGATGATAGATGATATGAGAGAGTATGGGGAAGTGGTGCCCAGGAAACAAACAGGGTCTGGAAGCACAGCTTCTAAGTCAGGGATGATTCCAGAAGAAAGGCAATGAAGCAATGCTCCCTCAGGGACTTGCTACTGTGGGTACCCCCTATCTCAGGGCAGGAACTTTGTTTACCAGCCACTGCCTCAATCTCATCCTGGCTACTCAGGAAAATCAAGGGCCCCATCAATGGGGTGAAGGGTAGCAGTTCCCCAGAAAGCCGAGGTGGGGGGGCAATCAACAGCCCCTCCCAGACTAGGACTCCACCCACCCACGCCAGGAGCAACCAGAAGGGCTGGCTAGCCCTGTCCTGGCTCTCTCTGATTGCCCCAGACACAGGAGAATGGCAAGAGAGCCCTTCTCTAGAGAAGAGGAAGTCATCAGCTAAAACAGAAAAGCAGGGAGCCCCCAGACCCCTCACCAGCCACATGCCTAAGGAAAGAGGACTCCATGCTTAGGAAAGATATTAACATCCAACACATAGCACCTAAAGGTAGCCAGAGCCAGGGACTTGGGATGAACTCCCAATACCATCAAATACCATCATGACTTCCATCAATTAGTGAGGAGTCAAACCCCGCTAGACAACTAGCCATGCAAACCTCAAAATTCTCCAGAGAGATAAAGGGGAGGTCTAGGGAAGAGGTGGAACTGTCTTTTCTTCTAAGATTCAGAGGTGCACAAAGTCTTCCTAATATCAAACCTCAATTTTCCTGATGTAGCTACCCTCTTTTCTTTTCAATCCCTACCCATCAAGCACTTACAAGGCAGCCACTAAAAATGGAGTGCATGAGCCATATCCAGAGCCAGCATCATTCTCCCCAAATCAGTGACTTGGTCCCCTCCCACTAAGGCTATACATGTACTAAGGCCTTCAAACTCCCTAAAGCTGGATGAGAGAAGAGCCCACGGCTGGTTCCTTGAGCTCTTCCAGTCTTAATTTCCTGGGTCCAAATGCTGATAGAGTAGGATCTATGTGGTAGAACACCAGCCTTGAGTGATAAAGCTCAGGCCCTGAGTTTAAGCCCAGTACTGGCACAAAAACAAACAAAAGGGGGAGGGGCTTGCCAGGTGCCAGTAGCTCATACCTGTAATCCTAGCTACTCAGGAGGCTGAGATCTGAAATTTGAAGCCAGCCACAAGACTCTTATCTCCAATTAATTACTAGAAAACCAAAAATGGTGCTGTGGCTCAAAATGATACAGTGCTAGCCTTGAGTGAAAAAGCTCAGGGACAGCACAGAGGCCCTGAGTTCAAGTCCCACAGCCAACATAAAAAGCGGGGGGGGGGGGGCTGACCAAGACACCCTGGATTAGGAGATGCAAGCAGCCCAGGGGTCCTGGAAATATTATACACCTTCCCTCCAGGTATCCATGCTATTTGAGCCCATCAGCATGGCCTGGAAGCTGTCATGTGCCAGAACTATTGCCGGAATTGGCTGAGCCCTCTCATTTGAAACCAACTCCAAGAAAAATGTAAATCCCTGTTTTGGCTTCTTCCAGTTCCCCTCAGGGTTGAGGCTGCCTCCTCTTACATCCCATCCCTGTAGAATGGAGCAGGCTGAGGAAGGGGGAAAGAGGCCTCAATCTACAATGAGCAGTATGCCATGACTCACTGTGAAGAAGGGGAGCCAGGGTTCCCCTCAGACCCTTGCCCAAGCCATCACTGACCCACTTTCTTCTCCTTGGACTGGTTGCCTGCCTTCCCAGCAGCTCAAAGGCAGAGCCTGAGGCAAGGAGACAGGACGCCTAGGTTCCTGGCTCCACCCCATACCAATGCCCCAGTTTCCCTGATCACCCAGAAGGGAGGGGGCAGCTACCCTCCCTCCTGGGAAAGGGAAGGAGAGAAAGTGTGGAGGGTTCTGGGAGGTGCTGGGCAGACAGGTGTTGTCATGAAGTGTGCCTCCCTCCCACACAGGGGATAGGAACCTGGCTGCCTCCTCTCAGTCCCACCAAACAAGCTCATATGGCTTGTCCTCTTCTTGTCCTCTTCTCTAGGCAGAGGCAAAGAACAAAGTATAGATGACCAAGGCAGTCCAAGTTCAAAGCAACTCCTTCAGCCTGGCTAGACTGAACCTGGGCTAGACAAATTCCACCAATCTTCCAACACAACAGAGAATAGACAGACAAGGCCTGATCCAGTAAAATAAAGAATGTCCCTCCTCCAGCCTCCTTGGGCCTGAAGAGAAGCAGAGCTCAGGGAATAGCCTAATCAAGGGAGTGGGCAGCCTCATGAATGGTCTCAACACAGAAGTACATGAGGTCAAGTGCTGGCATGCTGCCCAGCCCAGAAGTATGTGGGTGAGTGCCCACTCCCCAAGACAGTGGGCCCAGAATCAAATCATTCAGTCTCCATCTGCCACCCTTCACCCGGAACATGCTCCCTAGGAGAACAGGAATGGACCTCTTTCCCTTTCCTGTTCCCACAGTTGGTGTTTCTCAGCAAGGACCTACTGAAAAGCTCCTATGTTTAGAGGCATTAAGAGGAACTAGAGAAAAAGCAGAAAACTCCTTGCTGTTAGGCAACCCGGCTGCTCTGGGGCCTAGTGAAAGGAGTATTTGGGGATGTAGGGAAAGGTGAGAAGATGCTTAGAAGCTACCCCCCCACCCCCAGGCCCTGAGGACTAACCACATTCATCATCAGCCTCTACGGTCTGCCCCTATGACTTTATAAATTTCCTACTTGGGGATCTGATCTCTGCAAGGTGTCCACAGAGAAGCAGACCCCACATGTTCTGGCTACAATTCATGGTTAGTTTTACTTCTGTGGGGTCTCAAGACATTGAAGGGTTTCAGGGAATACTGGGCACATGCAGGCCCAGCCCAGATGCCAACTTGAATTCTAGGAACAGCTGATATTGAACCCCTCAAAGAGGAAGAGCTGAGGTACAGGGTATCTCCTTAGTACAGGGCATCTGGAACAAACACCACAATTGGAACTGCTCTCACAACCCCAGTAAAGCTCTATGGTAAGAGCCGCAGCAGGCTAACCTCAGCAATAACCTCAGTCTTTGTGTGTGTGTGTGTGTGTGTGTGTGTGTGTGTCTGTCACAGGTTTTGAACTCTGGGCCTCGGTGCTGTCCCTGAGCTCTTCAGCTGAAGGCAAGCATCCTACCACTTGAGCCACAATGCCACTTCCAGTTTTCTGGTGGTTAATTGGAGATAAAGGTCTCATAGACTTTCCTGCCTGGGCTGGCTTTGAACCATGATCCTCAGATCTCAGTCTCCTGAGTAGGTAAGATTATAGGCATGAGCCACTGGCACCCCGCCTTTTTTTTTTGCCAATCCTGTGGCTTAAACTCAGGGCTTAGGTACTATCACTGAGGTTTTTTTTTGCTCAAGGCTAGTGTTCTACCACTTTGAGCCACAACTCTACTTCCAGCTTTTGGTGGTTAATTAGAGATAAAGAGACCTAAGGCTGGGAACCAAGATCCTCATATCTCAGCCTCCTGAGAAGCTAGGATTGCAGGCATAAACCACAGGCTCCCAGCACCCCAGTTCTGAAGCCTCTCAACAATCCTAATACAAGGCCCCAGATCCTTGGTCCCCTGTGTCTCTACCTTATGTCTTCCCTCCTTCCCAAATATAGGGAAGACAGCATCTCCCCCTGCTGGGGGGAGCTGGAAAGCCAGCCCAGAGGCAAGGCCTGTTCAGGAGGCCACCCTACCAAGGCTGGGCAGCAGCTCCCAAGCTAGTGGACAGCTTCAGATACTACCACACTCCTGCTGGCTCTGGCAGAAGTGGCTGCAAGCTGAGCACTGGTGGCTCACACATGTAATCCTAGCTATTCAGGAGGCTGAGGTCCAGAGAACAGTAATTTGAGGCTAGTCTGGGCAGACTCTTTTGTTGTTGTTGGTGGTGGTGGTCATGGGGCTTGAACTCTGGGCCTGGGTGCTTCAGCTCAAGGCTTCAGCTCAAGGCAGGTGCTCTAACACTTGAAGCACAATGCCCCTTCCAGTTTTCTGGTGTTTAACTAGAGATAAGAGTCTCCCGGACTTTCCTGCCCAGTCTGGCTTTGAACTGAGATCCTTAGATCTCAGCCTCCTAATTAACTAGGATTATAGGTGTGAGCCACCAGTGCCCAGCTCCAGCCCTGCTTTTATGCTGGTTATTTTGGAAATAAGAGTCTGCCCAGGGCCTGGTGTCAGTGGCTCACACCTGTAACCCTAGTTACTCAGGAGGCTGAGATCTGAGGATAGCATTCAAAGCAGCATTGACAGGAAAGTCCATGGGCCTCTTATCTCCAATTAACCACCAGAAAAACTAGCAGGAGTGCTGTGGCTCAAAGTGATAAAGCACTAACCTTGAGCGAAAGAGCCCAAGAACAGCTTCCAAGCCCTGAGTTCAAGCCCCTTGACCAACAAATAAAGCAGGTAGCAAGAGCTTAGCAGCAAGCTGAGTGGGTGCAAAGGCCCTGAATTCAAATCTGACACACAGAAAAAAAGTTGCTACAAAGAAAATGGACCACCAGCATCTAGCAAGGTAACTCAATAGCATCATCAATCTTCAGTAGATTTTTTACAGCTTTCACTGTGGAAATCAAACCCCACAGCTAGCAAATATCTTTCCTAAGCCACCAACAGATACATAATGAGCAGTCCCTGTACCCCTGGCCAAGGTCAAATCCCAGCCCCAATGTGAAGCAAGATTGGAAAGGGCTCCTGGGAAGAGCAGTGTGATAGCTCAGAAGAAGGAGCAGCTAGCACTACTCATATCACAACTGACTAGAGGAGCAGTGTCTTACTGACTCAGGAGAGGGACTGTTGAACATCCACCAGGCCTCTCCTGTCCTTCCAACTTAACCTACGAGGATAAAGCAAGAAGTTAGCATTTGGGACAGCATCTGGCATAGCCCCTACAGGCTAGATAAAAGCAAGAGCATAGGTAGGACCTGAGGGGAACCACAAACCCAGCAGACAATGGTGAGTAAAGTAGGTTTGGCCTGTCTGGATTCCTCTCTGTTGCTGCTTCTGGACTACTCAGAAGATGAGTTTTCATCCCAGGCTGCAATTTTCCTGTCTCTAAAAGAAGGAAAAATGTCCATCCAGAAACTCCTAGAGGAAAATATGTGGGGAGATGATGGGCTGCAGAGGGTTAAAATGAACAAGATGGACTCAGCTTTTCAGACTGGGCAGGAGACAGCCAAGGAAAGAAGGCAGTTATTACCCTGACCACATTGACCTGTGACCCTCCTGGGAAAGTCCTGAGGGTCTGGCTCAGGCTAGTTGGACACATCCTCATGGGCACACATCCATTCCCACCCATATATAAAGCAGCCTGGAGTCCCACCCTAGACTATTTCTGGCACTACCAGGCAGCATTCTAGCAGAGGAGAATGGGAAATCTCAGAGTAAAAGACCTCAGATGAGGAATCCCCATGCTCAATGCCCAAAAGGAAGAGGTAAGTCTACCTGGACTTCCCAGAGTACATCACATCCCCCTACTTCTACCTCAGTACCACATGCTCAAGCACAGAGATTAAGGCCCAGAGCTCTGAAAATCTCTACCAAGAAAAGGTATGAAGTTGGGTGTGGTGGTACATGCCTATAATCTATGCCTCCACTTGGGAGGTAGAAATCAGAAGGATGGTAGTTCAAGCACAGCCTGGGCAAAAAAACTGGGAGACCATATCTCAACCAACAAGCTGGGCATGGTGGTTCATACCTATAATCCAACCTATATCTATACAAGAAATATAGGTAGATAAGTAACTGTCAAAAATTGGCCCCCGGCAAAATGAAGGACCCTATTCTAAAAATAACTAAAGCAAAAAAGGCCTAGAAGCCAGGTGCTGGTGGCTCATACCTATAATCCTAGCTACTAGGGAGGCTGAGATCTGAGGATCACGGTTCAAAGCCAGCCTGGGCAGGAAAATCCACGAGATTCTTATCTTCCAATAAGCCACCAGAAAACCAGAAGTGGCGCTATGCCTCAAGTGGTAGAGCGTTAGCCTTGAGCTGAAGAGCTGAGGGACAGCACTCAGGACCAGAGTTCAAGCCCTGCAACCAACAAAAAAGGGCTAGAAGCGTAGCTCAGTGATAAAGCACCTGTCTAGTAAATGCAAGGCCCTAAGTTCAAACCTCAGTACAACCAAAAACAAAAAACCCAGTATGGAACACAGCAGAAACATTTTACATTCTAGCTATCACAAGAAGGAAGCTAGGTACTGAGCTATAGTGAGATGTTACTAACACCATCCTAAACTGTCCAGAGATTCTGGGACACATACTCCTCAGGCCTGCATTGTCTGAACCATAGAGCAGGGTGCAGTAGAAACCAAAGGCTCTTAAATTGAGGGCTGGCATGGAGCAGAGATAGACCCAAGCCCTGCCAGGCCATCAATTCCCAGTCAACCTCATGGCTGGCCTCCATCCATTCCTTGCAATGTCCTCCACTCCTGAACCCCCTGGTTCCCTGACAGCTCAAACACTGGCAGTCAGCTAGCCTGGGCAGGAAACCCACATAGCCCATTTCATCCAAAGCTGTCCCAGAGGGCTCTTCCATCCTCCCAGCTCTTACCCGACTCGTTGGGAGAGTTCATGCCGGCTCTGGGCCTGCAGGAAGCTGGCGCTGGGGGCTGGGACAGGAGGGGGTGAAGCTGCGATGATGTCAAGAGAGACAGACGATGATAACAGACAGACGAACGGGACAGGAGCCCGGGCCCCTGGGCCTCTAATACCCATCCAAGGCCATCCTTCAGGGTGAGGCAGTCAGGCACTCAGAACAGCAACCCTGGGGAGAGATGGAGCAGGGTTAGAGGCCCCCAACTCAGAAATCTACCAAAGGGAACCTTAGAGCAGTCAGTTTACCCCCGGGGACACCTGGGAAGGGACATCTGCCCCAGGGCACAAAGGGAAGTAGTGGAACTAGACCACCAGACCTTACTCTCTTCTCTTCCAAACTGGTGAAGCTCCAAGTGCCCCAAGGATAGGAAATGGCTACAGAGTACACAGTCAAGCCAACTCCTTTGCAGCATCCGTGCCCACTGGCAGGTGAAGAGAACTTATGGACTCCCAGAGTGCCTAATATGGAACCAGGATGCAGGTGGGCTGCTTCTAGCCACTCCACACAGCAATGGGAAACACAAGGATGATCTGGAGACCATGGCAGAAGTTTAAGGAGAGACAGGAACCCAGCTCTAATATAATCTAAACTGGGACCCCTGGGGAGCAGTCATCTTCTCCAGGCCTCCTGAGCTTTCATCATCCACCTCTGGAAATGCAGATGTGCTTCTGTCTCCATCCCCATTCCGTCCTCATCCTCCAAGTTAACAACAGGACAAGGCACAAGAATGTGTTTCCAGGAATTAAGAAAGTCTGAGATATCCATCCTAGATCTAGTACTCCAGCCTGGGGGAAAGGGGATGCAAGCCCAGGGATTTATGTACAGCTTGTGTTCTGCCTACTAAGCCACATCTTGACACATGCTGAGTCTACCAGAACAAGGGACACCTTTTAAAAATTTGTCCAAAGGCAAGGACAATATAGTAATGGAGGCTGTATTAAAGGACCACCAAGGCCCTTTGCTAAGCTGTCCCCACCAAGCTCCCTCCAGCCCCAGCCCCAGCCCCAGAATCGGTCCTTAAGCCTCACACACTAGGCATGCTCCCACCTAGGCATTCCCCTAAGCACCCACCATCCATGATCTCATTCATACACTTCGAAATGAAGGCAGGCCTGCCAATATCCAATGGAAGTGAGTAACAGGAAGTGATCAGAGGATGCCCAGAGCTGCTGGATGTTTAAGACCTAACCTTACTGCTCCCCAAGCCTCCAGCAGGCAATCAGCTCTGCCTCCCGGAGAGCCCCACCTCCTGGCAGGATTAATTCTCAGTAAGCCTTGAATTCTCATCAAGGATTCTCAGGGATAGGTTTCATGTGGTGCCCAGAAACCCACAAGTCAGCTATCAGAGACACAAGAACATGCCTACAACATGCACAAAAAAGACCCAGAGGTCCTGGGCCTGCTGGCCTCTGCTCTCACCCATGAGGTTTGGACTCTGTAGCTGTAGGAAGGTACATTGAGAATGAGGGTTCAGGGCTGAAGGGACCAGGTTGCTCCAACAGGCACAGGTGTGGGATAAGGACAAAGGAGGTTAAGCAGGGCTGGGGCCAACTTCAGGAATGCAGCAGGTGGGGCTGTTAGTGCTCTGGCAGGGCCCGTGTGGGCAGGTAGCTCAGTCAGTGCCCACACCAGGGCTGGCGCCCAGTCCTGCTCACACCCTTTTCTGTGGGCTGGGGAACATAGGTTCAGAAATTCCCACGACTGACAGCAGCTTGGGTAGTCCAGCCCATCTCTTTACTAAGAGGCACCTTCACAGGGGGGCACTCAGAAGGATCAGATGGCAATGGAACAAAAACTTAGTTCCACTCAGCCCCTATCCCCCTTCCATTCCTAGTTTCTCTCTGGGTCTTAAAGGGGCTGATTCTCACTCACAGGGGAGAAAAGGAAGGGAGCAGTTCTTTCAACTCATAGTGAGCTCAAGACCTATCTAGGTAAGACCCAGCAGTGCCATTGGGCCTCTACTGACCAGCAGAGATTCTGCCTGGATCTAAGATTTTGAGTTTAAGGCCATCCTGAGCTATATAGTGAGACTGTGTCTCAAAAAATAAAATAAATAGCCAGGTGCCAGTGGCTCACTCATGTAATCCTAGCTACTCAAGAGGCTGAGATCTGAGGATCACATTTCAAAGCCAACCCAGGCAGGGAAGTCTGTGAGTCTCTCATTTCCAATTAATCACAGAAAAATCCAGAACTGGAGTTGTGGCTAAAGCAGTAAGAGTGCTAGCCTTGAGCAAAAGCAGCTCAGGGACAGCACTCAGGCCTAGAGTTCAAGCCCCAGGACCAGCAGAAATAAATACATAAATACATGCATACATATATACATAAATGTCTCCCAAATGAACAAGCCACAGTCTAGGGCTTCCTGGGAAACAAAGCCACGTTCATAGCCTGTCCCTGATCATAACAGGAGCAGATTCTTGTCTGGGGTGGGGCCCAAAGGGGAAAGAGTGCAGGCAGCCTGATGTTCAAAACCTGAACTGCAGACCAGGAGCTGTGTGGCTCCGGGACCAAACCAGTGAGCAGCCCAGCTTTCAAGACCTCAAAGTAGGCAGACCCTCAGGGCCCTGTTTCTCTCACCTTGGTGGGCCAACTTTCTTCTACTTCCCTGCAGGAGGCAAACCCACCTTCCACCTCCAGCCAAGACTGCACAGCAAGAAGAATGCAGGAACTGGCAGAATCATATCCTAAAGGCTTTGCTAAGTGGTAGGAGGTAGGACAGAAACCTCAGGGAGACCCTCCTACCCAATTTATGAGCAATTAAAACTTCCAGGGTGGAAAGGCCAGACCAGTGAGGCAGGCTAAAGCAATGTAAAGTCCCAAAAGCCACAAGTTCACAATGCTGCCCTGCAGGGATCTTGTTCCTCAAACAATTCCCCCTAAATTCCAGGTGTCAAGCTGGCCTTGGAAGGCCTCTCCAGAACCTGGACTCTAGTACCTCCACACCACCCCCTCTCAACACAACAGCTTTGGACCTGCAAAAGTTGGGCCCAAGTCCTGAGCTCCTAGGCCAGGTCATAGGTAGCAGGGTTAAGCAGTCCTGTTAAGTCTGATATCAGCTTTGCTTGCCCCAGTGACTGCAAGAGAAAGCGCCAAACCCAGACAATCCCACCCAAAGGTACCAAGTGCTCCTCATCTTTCTTGACCCCCTCCTGATCATGGCCACAGAAGACCACTTTCTCCAGCCTCTGAGAGCTTCTATTGCTTCTCTGCCAAACTGAGCCAACAGAAGACCAGGAGGATAAGAGCCATGCAGGGTGCTGCCTTACATGTCCAGGCCCCAAACTAGGGAAAGGAGGAAGACAACAAGAGAGGAAAAAAGGTACTGGGCTGACAAATTCATTTTTGCAATCGGCCCATTTCTGTTTGTCTGCTCAGACGCAGCTCCAGGCATCTGCACAAGCCAGATGGAGGAGGCTTCTATTTCTAGAAAAAAAATGGGGGGAGGGGAGGAGGGGAAGAGGCGGAGGCAGAGGGCAGAGGAAGGGGTCTATTTGCCCTAAAACCTCAGACAGAATGATACCCACTCCCCAGCACTACCAGACAGGGTTCCCATTCAAGAAAGGGCTGGGCTGAGGTAGGGTGGGGAGAAGAAGAAAGGCAGAGAAAGTTTAATTAGCCGAAGTCAGCTACAACAGGCCCCCTCACTGGCTGCATCAGGTTTTCATTCATGAGCAAAAGACAGTGCTCCAAAAATGCCAAGAACGGCCCCCACTCGCTGTCTCTCCCTCACCCCCCCCCTTCCTGCAACCACCACCAACAGAAGTGCGTCCTCTAGCAGGCTGGCTGAGCCTGATGCCATGTTCCAGACAACCCTCCTCAAAGGGATGTGAGTAGGAAGAATTAATTATTAAAGAGCAGCTGGTACTTCAGCACTGACTGCACTACCCCCAGCTCTCGTGGCTGATCCCCCTCCCCCACTGTGCAGAAACACAAATGACCCCCTCCTCATTTCTAGGCCCCATTTGTAAGCACACAGTTAAGATGCCACCCCTAGGAAACGGAAAGCAAACCTTTGTTTCTACATCTATTTGAGGTGGGTGGAGCATGGGATATTGTTGTCCCCCACTCCAAATTACAATATCCAGCCAAAGTAGAAAGCTACACAGGGACAGAGAAAGCTGGCCCACAGCAAACACTTCCCCCTTCCCCTGCTCCCAGGTAACCTGCACCTGGGATCTGTCTCTCTGGCCACTAAGATATACACAATCTCAGGACAGAGTGGAGATACTGGGAGCTTCTAACTCAGAGACACCCCCCCCCCCCACCACCTGCCTCATCAAGACTTAGTACAGATCAAAGTTCAAGTGGAAGGAGGAAAAAGAGTATTTAAGAAAAGGCAAAGGAGACAAACCAAGATCTTCCCTTAAGCTTTGTGTTGAGGGAAAGGAAGGAGCGAAGTCTGGAATAGAGAAGCAGGCAGCCCCCAAGATGGCTCACCCACATCCCCAGCCCAGCCCAATATCTCAACAAGCAGCGTAGGCTCAAGGGTCCCAGTGCCTGGGGCCTGGGGAGACAGGATTCTCTCTGCCAAAACCTTCAAAACCTAAGAGGAGATCCAAGGTAGGACCTTGCCCCAGAATCAGTCCTTCAGGGAACCTAGCCAAGGGTCCTCTGGCTAAGACCCTACCATCTCCTGCCTCCTTTTGTTTCTATGATCTGGCTCCGACCTCCCCTCCCAAAGGAGGCTGAACCTAACCACAACCCCCCCCCCCCACTACCACCACAGGCTCCAAAACTAATTTCATGTCCCAAAAGCATAGTGGTCACTGTCACAGTGGTGGGTCCCTTTCACAACCCCCCTTTTCTAAAGAAACTGCAGCTGCTACCCTTCCTCTTTAGGGACACAACTCATCTCAGAAGACCAAAGACAGGAATATCAGATGGTCACCTCCTCTCCCAAAAGAAGCACTCCCATTTCCCCTCACTCCCACCCCCCTCCACACGTTCCCAGATTAATTACATATCATCCAGCCAGTTCTCATCTTCCCCAGGGCCCCAGGGAAGGGTGGGGTAGAGGAGCTGACTCCCCCCCCCAGCCCCAAGTTAACCAGCCACAGTCAACCAGAGTCCCTACCTCCTTGAGACATAGAGGATGAAAAATGGGTAGAGGGGGGCATCCACCCCAACAAGGAGAGCGAAGCTCCAATTTATCTTCCAGCTCTC